TGGTTCCAGTAGTGGGGCCAGTAGCATTTTCAAGTACTGACGTCCACAATTAGACGGTGGAATCAACGATCTTAGTTTTAAAATGTCGCTGTCGCTGTCGCGCAAGTCGCGCCTTGTCGTGTTAGCCCTACTGGTCGTCTCACGCGCCTTTTATTATTATCAGGGATCGAAATAGATAAGAGTTTTTTACCTAAACTTCGAGGAACATTGACAGAACATGGAGATTGCCTTACAATAATATTTTTTAGGTCCTGGACCTGTTCGGGATTCGAGAAATCACTTATACGTACAATAATCACTTAAACACATTTTCTGACACGTGTAAGTAGTGAATAGGCAGGGTTGGGCGCGCGTTTAGTGTGCAAATGTATAGAAGATAGGTCTAATAATACGTATGTAGTCATTTCGAGACTGGATCGACTAAGACTTTGTAACGACGGGGCACTAAAGTTATGGGTCCCATACAAAAACTGCACATTTTATTTTCAAAATGTGATATGACAATATTTAATAAGGATAATAGGATCTCTCGATTGGCATTTTTTTTAGGGAGGTATCGTGAAAAAAATCCAATGTCCGCAATATTGCTGATCCGACCCACTGTGTCGCAAAGTTAAGATAAATATAGTGTACCTGTCTGTCCCCAATTACGTAATATTATATAAATAATTTTAAATTATAATGTTCTTAAGTGATTTTCCGAATCCCGAAAAGGTCCAGGACCTAAAAAATATTGTCGTAAGGCAGTCTCCATTTTCTGTCTATGTTCCTCGAAGTTTAGGTAAAAAAACTACCTATTCCGATCCCTGATTATTATTATGTTAATGCAAATGTGTACGTTCGTACACGGCGGGCGTCCACACATATATACAAGTTGCGCTGCTATGTTTGTATGGAGTTACCATAGTTGTCTTATTATATTATGTCTGTATTATATTATGTCTGTATTATATTATGTGTGTGTATATCGTTTGTTGCAGTTTGGATGTAATTTGTGGTTGTCTATGTGTGTGTCCATGGCACCCGCGATACAGGGTTTCCCTAGTGCGGGGCTATGAGTGTCTGGGTTATTGTTATAGGAATGACCGCACCAGTATTGGCATTTAACTTCAATGTCCGTGAAAATCTTTAAAATTTCGGAGTCTACCCACCCAAATAGGTAAGAAGTACACTGATAAAACTAGATAAGTTACAAGAATCACATGCATTGTTGTATCCTTTTTTGACTCCGGTTTTGAACGTAACGCGAACTGAAAAATGGTAGGTTCGTGTTGGTTTGTTTAGATGATACTTTATGAACAATAGGTACTGTAGTGTATGCGACTTGACATACCTACACGCTGTCTCGTGTGTCCACGCGTGGGTACACCCAGACAGTATCGCGAGAGCCATTGGCGAGAGTGAACAGGGTGCTACATCATGCATGGCAATGCCGAGTCAGTGTTCGCAGGAGAAGAAGCAAACATATCAAGTATGCGACTTGACATACCTACAGGTACTAAATACCCAACTACTCTGACTTGTATCGCGATTAACAGCCTGTTGAGTCCATGGTATAGTACAACAGTGTATAGCTCCACTAACGGTCACAAGAAAAGCTAAACAATATTCAACGCGATGACTATCGTAACTATAAACACACGGTACTGGAATGAATGAAAACTAGTATACTATGAAAAGACAATATCGATATATTTATACACTGTGTTAATCAAATATGCAAGCGTGTGTAAGTAATACTTTTTGTAAGAGACGCAATGCAAAATAAGGCATCTAAAACCTGCTATTTAAGTAACATAAATCTGTACGTTTATTATATGGCAATATGTAATTGTAAATTCTAATTCTATAGGCAAAATCTGTAAAGTACCATAAGGTTCAATTTATCAATTGTGTAACGTACAAACAAGATACAAGCCAGAACACAGGCCGCGCGTCTTCCGGAAAATTCTCACGTCATCTCGGGAATTGCCGCAATTACCGTATCGTATCTAGTTTTTTTTATGATAACAAGTAACAGGACGAACAAGCCGTGCGTCTGGTGTTAAGCGACACGTCTGTCCATTACAGTTGCAATGCCACTCAGAGCTTTAAATCGCAAAGATCTGAGGGACACTGCCAAGGCGCCTGCGTACGTGTACAGTAAGATTCCGGAGCATATATTATTACTATTCACATTTCCTAAGCTTAAAACTTACCTTAGAAGTATTTTAATTGATAAGTCATATTACAAAATTGAAGACTACGTCTTAGATAAAGATATATGGAAAGCCGACATGGCTCTAGATTCCACACAAACTTGATTCAGTGTATTCCATTGCAATTAAGTTTATTTAAAAAAAAGCAACTCATAGCGTAGATGCTTGTAAGCTGATGATGATGAACCCTTAGTTTCTTGCTCGTTTTTCTCAGGGAAGTCAGCAAAGTGAAGTAGTTTATAAAATGACTTTTTGAAGTGTAAATTTATTTTACAAATGTAATAAATGATTTTTGACTTTTGTACGTCACACAATTGACATAAAATTTCAAAAATAAATACTAAAATGGAATCGTGTAAATAACTGGTTATAATATGAGCATCTGGATGCTCGATGTAAAAAGGTTACAAAAATTCCTACTTTCTTGGAGCCTAAGATATATCGTCGCTTAGCTAACAGCATCACTGGCGTAATTGTTTATTCAGTATACAAGGTAAAAAATAAAAAAGATTTTTTTATCAAGAGATATAGGTGTACCAGAATCTCATGGCACTAAATGCAATGCAATGGCAATGTTAACTTGTCACATGTCAATTCAAAATATTACTTGTGTCAAATTGCCACAAAGTATAATATTGGCAAAATCATCAGTTCTCATATTGCTGGAGCCATAAAAATAAAAAGTGAAGTGAAGTGATCATTGCAAATAGCTGTCTGCTAAACTTTTTCACTGTAAAATAACGATTTTGTAGCAAAATTACTGAGAATCGCCTCCAATCTCAAGCAAAAAACATTGCAATAATGTTTATATCGCAAAATCAGCAATCAAAAATTAGGTGCATTTAAGTCACATTTCACGATTTAGACGCGGGTCTCAAATCTTGCCGATTAGTAGGAGTAAATAAACTTGATCTTTGATATTTTAACAATGCCAAATCAATGTATGTAGTACGAATGTAATTTTTACTGGTACTAAACGGCAAGACTACAGTGTGATAAAAAAAGATTAATGGCGTAAATGCGAGTTACTTCAAACTGGAAACGTAAACAAATCTATCTATCACCCACAATGTAATTGATATATTTTTAGGAAATGAAACTATTTTTCCGGACTTAAATGATCACGGTGGACCATGGGACCTGTAAAGGGCCCGAAACATCGGTTTGTTTGAAAAAACAAATATACGCGATTTAAATCCGGAAAAATAGTTTCATTTCCTATGTGTAACAATCGCGAAAACCTAAGAACTTGATATATTTTTTTGTTTAACTGTAAATTGTATCAGAAATTACCTTTCTCACACACAAATTCATACAGATCTTAAAACATGTACGAGGTTAGATCAATTCTGGTCAATTAAGATATATGAAGTATATAGTACATTTTTTCCTATTATACTGATGTTGCCCACTATAAATTTAAAATTGTCTAAGTGCCATCAGATTCTGGTACACCTATAGCAGTCGCCATGTTGCATGTCGATTGCCAATTAAACTTCTTGCTCAATTTCGTATTTCTCTAACACAGTCAATAACTCGAGTCGCAAATTGGTTTCAACCATAAGTCGCAAGTACACACTACTGCAATGTCAAATATTATCTAGTATCAGTAGAGCTCCTTGTGAAAGAGTTCGTCCAGGGAAGTACTGCCACCTTGGTAATGTGAGTATTACTGCGTTCCGGTTTCGAAGGGTAACTAAGGGAGCTGGTGAAATTACAAGCACATGGGACTTGTCAACTCGTGTCTCAGGGTGTCGGGCGCAATGGCAGTGCCTTCAGATAGTAATTTCTATTTTTCTTTTTTTCTATACGTTATTTCTATTTTCTTTTTAAATTAAAGTGTTTGATGTTTGTTATGTTGCGTCATTGTTGTATACGCCCTGTTACGATACAAAATACTGTATAAAAATTGTATGACAAAACAGTGTAAGTTTCTCTATGTATCGACCATAGACGGTTTAGTGATGGCCAATTGTAATGCCAACTACAAATCGATTAATTAATTGAATGAATCGATTTGTTCGATTGAGTCATACTAGCGGTTTTCCCTACATAAGCATATTTAAAATTTCCGAAATCTTAATTTTAAGTATTCCTAGCGATAATTGCGACAGAAATATTCGATTTACTAATCGATTACAAAATCTTTAATTGAGTGAACCGAATGTTTTTTTCGTACAGCACTAAGCAACCATAGACAAGTCATAGATATATAGATGAAAATACCTCTCTTTTGGACTACCATTTTTCAAACACAATTATATGATGCTATTCCATTGACTTACAATTACAGGACGTCGGGTCCGCGCTAAAAAGTGTCCGCACTTGTAAGGCGCTAAAATCGTATACAGAGCGCCAAACTCCGCTTTAGTCTTCATTTGTTCTACTGACACCGCGATACTGCGATGACATTACAATTTAAATTTCGAATAGGTTGACATGGGACATTTTTTTCGTGGTTTTTGTATTAGACCCGTCGTTCATTTATTTGTAAGTCAATGTGCTATTCAAATAAATATTGTTGGAAAAAGTGATGGGATATCAAGTCGAAATATACGTGAAAGTGTTACTTATTCGATTTATTCAGTGATTGCTTTAGAATTTTAACCAAACAGTTTTGTTTACTTTTTGTTGAAAATGGATTGGAACAGACTTTATGTGCCGATGACCTAGTAGTATTATTAATTCTATGGCCTAATAATAATATTAATAAATAAACAAATAATGTGAGAGTAAAAGACAAAACTAAAACTCAATCAATCAGCCTATTACAGTCCACTGCTGGACATAAGCCACCCATAATGCCCGATCACCCGTTTTCCGCATCAAAACTATTTCACACAAATTCTGGTGGACTCGCGAGGATTGATTTCGACCTTAAGGATCTGTTGAGGTCTGTGAACGTATTAATATCAAATACCAATTTTCCAGTGTTTCAAAGTTTTGTTAGCTAAGCGATGATAATACCGCCATGCACTCTCTATGCTCCCTAAACGTACTGTCATTGTACCCTCATTCACAAAGGTTTCCTGGCTTTGACCATTTCGTCGCTAACATTCCACAGTTTGATTTCTTCATCGTTGTCAAAGGGATACTTCGATTGGTACTCTGCACAGTCGCGGTAGAACTTGCCGGTTTGGCCTTCGATGTTGTATTCTGTCGCGCAGAAGACTACAGTCTCTGAGCCCTGGAACAGGTAAACCTTCTTATTATCATTCCCATAAAGTTGCTCATAGTGTTATTTTCTAAGACTGATAAGTTACGCATTGGCTCTGCAAGTGGCAGTAGACTTGACGTCAATAATGCCTCAATTGCCGAACAGTTACCGTGCTGGACTGCCAAGCAGAGGTCCCGGGTTGGATTCTAAGGCCTACATTTATTTCTCTCGTGAGTTTGCACGTAATTTGTGGTTGTCTATGCCTGTGTCAATGGCACCCGCGATACAGGTTTTCCCTAGTGAGGGACTATGAGTGTTTGCGTTATTATTATTATTAATTTGTATTGTTTGCACACAGACCGACAAATAAAATACATAAAAAGCGACCTCAAAAGTTTGTGGAATTACATCTATTTGCCCAGTTTTATTGACATTGATTCACGGCAAGTGTGTGAAATTCAATAAAACGAATTTATCCCTTAATTTGCCATCTTTAGATGTGGAATATTTACTTCGAATTTGAATTGAACTACTACTAAGGTGGCCAAATTCTAACAAAAAAAGTATCATGGAAATCGGTTCACAAATATCCACAAAAAATACAGTCAAATTGAGAACCTTTTCCTTTTTTGAAGTCGTTTAAAAAGAATGGTCATCTATTTTAATGTCGTCAGTGGATTTCCTAACTTCCTCAATGGACAGATTTGCTCTAGCCTCCCAACAGCAATTAACTATATACTAATCGACAAAACACTTTATGTAAAACATTTGATATTGAAGACGTTCCAACATGGCTTCGTTTATTATGAGAGATAAAAGCTTCTTAGCTTTTAAACTTGCATCGTGACAACCATCAAATCTAGCATCTTACGAGTTTCTTATTGCATAATAAATTTTATCACTCATAGCTATAATATTGAGCATAATAAGTAACATTATAAACTATTTTCGGAATTTATCAATTATTACAACTCATAAGTCTTAATAAAAAAGTTAACATCAATAAATAATAATCTACTAATATTTATCCTTATCGAGACAATTTATATACTCCCGGACACACAATTCGAGCCACTATATCATAGTATCAACGAAGAAAAGGTTTCCCCCGGTTTTGAAAGTCCGAATTTTCTAAAAGGACTTATGGAAAAGACTTTTAATATTCTAGTTTCTAAATTGCGTAGGAACTATCCTACGCAATTTTGAAACTAGAATCTAAAGAACACTGATCGATTGATCAACTATCTTGATCAATCGAACAGTGTTTAAACTTAATGCATTTAATACTGATGCGAGGTGGCTCGAATTATGTGTCCGGGAGTGTATATAATATGTTCTATAAGACCAATAATATAAATATTAAGCCTTGCTTAGTGTTAAATTAACACGTTTGCTGTTGTTTCATTTGTTAACAGATAAAGCATTGATAGCCTGGTGACACAATGTGATCATTAGGCTCATTATTTACCATAGCCGAGCGGAGAAGAACAGTTTCATCATAGTATAATAAATCAAGTAGTGTAACTCCATACGAACGTAGCAGCGTAGCTTGCATGTGTTCACGTGTCATGTACGGATGCAGTCATTTGCATTATGTCGTCGTGCACCCGAATTGCAGAGAGCGTGTCATCACACGCGTCAATCATTAAACAATTTACGTGTTCGCTCGTTGTTTAAAAAATTACATCAAATAATATACGTGTTCATGATTGTTTGAACAAGAGCGTCTCAAATTCAGAATTCGTTTTTACCATTTCATCATCATACACTGTCATATTACGGATCGTTTTGCGTAAAAGCGAGTTAGGAGTCATCACATTCATCAACGCGGAATCATGTTCTACAACATTTGTCGCATTAAGCCCATTCGCTGTCGACGCATGCCGTTCGGGCGTAGACATAGTCGTTCGGGGCGTGAACCTAGCCGTTCGAGCGTAGACGTAGCCGTTCGGGCTTAGACGTGGCCTTTTGAATGTAGACGCAGCTGTTCGGACGTCGTCGGCGCCGCCATACATCTTCAGAGTCGTTGCGTCGTCTATGTGGCAATTGGAACTTCGACGCTGCCGTTCGAGCGTCGACGCCCTCAATCAGCCGTCATCGGCTGCGTAAGGACGTGATCGGAAATTCACAGGCAGCCGATTCGCATCGGTTAGTACGCCGCGTCGTACTGCGAACGCACAGCGTCTTTTTCGCACTTACTTCATGGATATAAAACTTCCTGATGCGATTCCGTGTCGATAAGCGTGGTGACTCCCTAAAGGGACGGAGCGTCTTATTTCTGGTAGCACAAATGATATCGAAAAACGAACATCAGATCCATTTTCGGCATATTCTTTTAGATGTCAATATACAATAAACGTGATGGAGGTTAATGACCAACCACATCGTTGCCATGTTTTAGTTTGAATAGTTTAAATTTAAATAATTTAGTATGGTGTGAATAGTAGTCTATCGATCTAAAGGTCCAATTAATAACGTTACTTGCCTGTTGTGCAGATCTCATGAACAGCAAGAACACAGGTGCCATAAGGATGTAGTGGTACCACCTTATTGAATATCTGAAATTGAGGAATAGTCATATAATGAATATAATTGAGTAAGGTGTACTAACAAAATAGAGAAATAAAAGTGCCTAAAAACATATTACAATAAATGTTTAAGTTTTAAAGAACAAAGTGTTGTTTATATTAGTTTTAGAACCGCGCGCGGGCATGTGTGTGTGTGTGTGTGTGTGTGTGTGTGTGTGCGCGTGTGTGTGTGTGTGCGCGTGTGTGTGTGTGTGCGCGCGTGTGTGTGTGTGCGTGTGTGTGTGCGTGTGCGTGAGAGAGAGAGAGAGAAAGAGAGAGAGAGAGAGAGAGGGTGTGTGTGAGAGAGAGAGAGAGAGAGAGAGAGAGAGAGTGAGAGAGAGAGAGAGTCAGAGAGTGCGTGCGTGCGTGCGTCCGTGCGTGCGTGCGTGCGTGTGTGTATGTGAGAGAGAGAGAGAGAGATCTTAACTGTTAACCCAAAAACCAATCAAATCTTGTAAACTATGTAATATAATATAAAATAATATAATGTAATATAAAACTTGTAAAATATTTTACTTTTTATGCCCTGTCTTTCCTGTATAGTGGAGATACTTAAAGCCGTTATAAAAAAAACCACCCAAATTCATGCATACCTATACCTACTCAAACATATATAAAATTTGAATAGCATATGTCAAGTGTCACTTTGTTTACTTTCCTTTATCAATTTTATACATATACATAGTGTTTGATAAGCAGTTCTCAGTGTTATCAAAACGTTTGACATGAGATAGCAACGCTGATTATGCATATATTTATTAGTATTGTGTAAATTTTTGATCCACATTTTGATGTAATGCGAGATAAAGGGAAATCTGTAGTTATCGGGTATTGACAACAGCGTATTGGCAATTAATGAAAAAAAAATGGATTATTATTTTGTACTGAAACATTGACAGAACAATTTATATGAAGTTTAATAATTATTTCACTACCATATTAATTTTAATGCACGCAAATATACTACAAATATTTACTTAGCGGCCACCTCATTAAATTATATTTTTAATTGGGTGGTAATAAAAACTGAGAAGTAAAATTATGTATGAGCTCATTCAAAATATGAATATTAATACGTTATTTTTTAAGGTACTTTTGTTGTAAAATAAAAAACAGAAACAACCGAACGAAATACTGAAAGTATCGAAAAATATTGTTGACGTAATACTACTCTACCAACTTAATTCATATTTTACCGAAAATTTTGTTAAACGGTTCAATTCTTTATTGCATTTGCCATAATGTTAAAGGGGATGGAAATAGCTTAAGACGAAGTTAACAGCGCTTTATGGATTCTGTAGGGCACTGTAAATATGACTGAAAACTTTTGCATCATATGGAAATACTATTATTAACTAGCTAGTTTTCCAGAATTTATATTACTCGGAAGTACATATTTTTTCGTAGCATTGTTATTTGAAGTCAACCGTGACCTTGGGACCTGTAAAGGACCCGAAATGTCGGTTTGTTTGAAAAAACAAATATACGCGATTTAAATCCGGAAAAATAGGTTCATTTCCTATATTCTAGTTATTTTTCAGTAACTCACATTAACGCAGCATAGTTAGTATTACAGTTAGATTTATTTCGCTGCAATGTTTTTCGGAACCATCATTATGTCCCTGTTTAAATTCATTACATATTATTTGTTATACATATGTATACAAATGCAAACAATAATTTTAATGACAAGGCCATAAGGTCGTGGAGCTATTGCAAACCAGCAACATCTAGTATAAAAGATGACTGTAATAATAAAATTACCTGAATAAGCTTGTGTAACAGAACCCTGGGCAGCAAGCGTTCACATCCACTCCTGTACCCCTCAATTTATCTGCCAGTGATTTCATGAAATACACATTCATAAGCTTTGAGTTGCTGTACCCAGGGTTGTGACGGGCATCTGTCTTGCCTTCCTTCGCTTTCTCAATTTCTTTCCTAAGGTTCAGATCACTAAAATCCAATTTGCCTTTTTCGTGAAGTGTTGATGATACAATTACAACTCTGGAAAGCCCAATTCAATGGTCACTTACATTTTATTGAAGAAATATTATTCTTAAATATATACATTTTTCTACATACGCATAATTCTTATTCTTAAATGTCACATAGGATGGCACACGATTTGCTGGCTGAGGAAAATAGGGTGTCTGTAGCTTTGACTGTGATGGTGACCCTACCATTCAATAAAGAATACAGCAGTTGTGCTTTGTATATCCATATAATCAGTACTAGATCAAAATCATGTTTTTCAAGTCTCATATTCAAAGAGACAAAACGTTCTCAAGAGGCAACATATAATAAATTAAAGTATTTTCACATTTATAACTAAAAGTTGCTACATTTCAGTATCCACCACATTCAAAACCTGAACAAAAATAAACCTAATTCATAAAGAAGTTCCTGGCAATAAATATGCCAACATGTTTTTGCAAAGTACGCAGCAGCTAGAAGTATATTATATATTTACAAAAGTGTGTTATATGATTATCTATATACAATCCACAGAGCATAAAGGTCAATTGAACTGATATTACTGTTGTGGAACCCAATATACATGTGTAACATCAATCAGCAACATTTTATTTATAAAAGAGATTTTATTACCACTTCATTGTGTTATTTACTGAAATGATGTTCCATGTTTTGATTCATAATGTATTTCTTATTTTAGAAGTAGAAGATATAAGCTTATAAGTATTTGAAAAAATATCAACATGTTTTTTGAATAATTTATAAACGATCTTTGCCCGACAAAAGGATAATAAATTAAAGATTTGAGATTTTGAAGAAGTTTGTAAGGTCTTAGGTTTACTTTGAAGTTAAAAGGGCATAAAAGCTAAACTATATAATTTAGAAGATGATTAAAAGACAAAAAGAAGTGACACTTTAAGTACATTGAGAAAAAAAACATGTTATATATAACTGAAATATATCAATAGCACATTTTAATCAAAAGTGGTGTTGTTTCGTCCTCGAAATTGGTTCGTCTTGTATAACAATTTTTTTTTTTAATATCTTTGTTATTATTGACACAAAGATAAATTCCTAAGATCAGACTGGACTCGATCGTGACTACCGCTCTTACTAACTGAGCTACAGAGCGAGTCAGTAGATCTTAGGAATTTCTCAGTCTTTTTTTTAATATTTGACAACATTACATACGTTGCTCTGATCCCAAAGTAACTAACGCACTTGTGTTATGGGAATCGGAAACAACGACGGTACCACAAACACCCAGACCCGAGACAATATAGAAAAAATAGTTTCTACATTGACCCAGCCGGGAATCGAACCTGGGACCTCAGAGATGGCGACACTATGAAAACCGGTGTGCAAGCCACTCGACCACTGAGGTCGTCAAACAATATACAAGTAATGATCTCTTCAGTTAATAAATTACATTTTGAGTTACCTAGGAGTATGAAAAAGTATATAAAGGAGATCAAAAAGTATTACATAATACTACATTTTCTTTATAATACTAAGTGACGGGACAAACAAGTTGTGTGTCTGGTGGTAAGCAACATGCTTGTCCCTAACAGTTGCAGTGCCACTCAGCTTTAAATCACAAAGTTCTGAAGGGCACTGCCAATGCGTCTGACACTCTGAGGCATAAGTTGACAAGCCCCATGTAATTTCACCAGGTCTGCCGTCCACTAACCAAAACGCGGCTAAGTGACAAATGGTTAAATAATCATTTTCAATAGCGCATAAAAATCTGGTTTAAAAACAGTTAAAATTATTTTAAATTTTTATTGAATTGATATTCAATTATTTGTTGTGAAATTACTCCACTAGTTTGTTATTGTTATTAATACAAAGATCGAACACCCAGAAAAAATTCCTTCGATCCGGCCGGATTCGAACCGACGTCTTCTAGCTTACCGTGCCAGACACTATACCAACTAAGCAAACTAAGCTTAGTTAAGCTCTCGCCAGGACTGGTAGCTGTAAAGGTACTAACTGAATGATAAATCTTTCATAGATTTCTCATAGATGGCGCTACGACTAAAAAGTCGTTGAAAAAACCAAATACAAAGACACGACGCAAGCACATAGAAAAATTCGTGAGGTGCGCTGGTTCGTTCCGTTGCTTAGTTGGTATAGCGTCTGGCACGGTAAGCTAGAAGACGTCCGTTCGAATCCGGCCGGATCGAATGAATTTCTTCTGTGTGTTCGATCTTTGTATTAATAATTATAACAGTTAAAATTAGTCAATGTGTTTGACTTATCGGACCTTACCCTAACGATGCATAGCTGAAATATCATTAAACAATTTCAGGGTTATAGTTTTTATATCTCAAAAAATTATTTTGTTACTTAGCCGCATTATAGTTAACGGACGGCAGAGCTTCTTATCCTTCCAAACTGGAATGCAGTAATGCTCACATTACTGCTTGGCAGCAGAAATAACTAATGTGGCAGTACTTCCCTGGATGAAATCTTTTACAAGGAGTTCTACTGTTACTAAAGTACATCCTTTTAAAGCTCTGAGTGGCACTGCAACTGTTATGGGTAAAAGTGTGTTGCTTATCATCAGGCACACAACTTGTCATCCCATCACTTGTTACTCATAAGTCTGTATATTCTTAATACCGAAATTGTGTATAAAAAACATTGGTAATGTGACATGCTGCAACAACAAATGACAATCAAATACATACCTGCTAGGGGAACCTCTTTTCAGCAAATCTAAGAGCAAATTTGTTAGATAAAAATGTCCCAAATGGTTCACCCCTAAGTGGATCTCAAAGCCTTCTTGGGTTTTAACATCATCTTTCAATGGTATTACCACTCCAGCATTATTGATAAGACAGTCAATTTTGTAGAAACCTGCTTTTATAATGCTTACAAAGTTCTCTATAGATGTGAATGATGCTAAATCTAGTTGCATTGGTATCTGAAAACATTTTGTTATTACTTTATAAGTCCTTTTAAATTACTGAAAAATGTAGATACATGCAATTTGGCTGTATGTGCATTGTCTTTGCTCCAGTAGTTTTATTTCTTTTAAAAGAGTCTGTACCTCACGTTCCTTTTATTAATGTTTCTCATGAAATTGGTATACATTTGACAATGATTGTTGAAGATATCTGCCCTCGGAACGAAAAACGGCACAACTGCTGTGTAAAGTACGCATAGTTGTGTATATAGTGTATATTCATGGAATATTTCATATAAAAACAGCCCATTTGAATATTTGATTTCAAAGATAATAAAGACATCACCACAAAAAAGTTATACAGAGATAGATCCTAGCAAGTATGTGCTGCAGCTGTTAAATTGACTTTTTTGCTAGCACATAGTAAATCATTTAACACAGGAAATTCATATTTAACCTTAATTCCTATTAACCAGGCATAAAAAGTAGAACGAATTTATTTCAACGGTAATGCCAGTAATTGCAATGTAAACCATTTACTTACTAGCTCGCCGCCGTTGGGTTGTTCTTTCCTAATTTCAGCGATAGCCTCCTTCCCCTTGGCGACGTTCCGGCACGCCAAGATTACGCGTGCTTTCCTACGAACAAGTGCCTTGGCGGTCTCCAGACCAATGCCGCTGTTCGCTCCCGTCACTATGAACGTCTTACCCCGGAGGCAGGTAGTGCTCAAGCACTTTGCCCAACCTCTTGACCTCCACTTACGCAGCAACCCAATAGCCACCACCACCGAAATTGGTATCGCGGCGTAAATAACTTTTGTCGACACCATTTCCCACATTGATTTTTATGTATCTACAAAAAAAGTACTATTTAAATTTTCAGATTTTGCGGAAGAAGCATAGGATGCTTTTGGTGTGAAACCCGTCCGCTCTTCAAAAATGTCAGCCGCAAAATGTCATTTGGTCTCGCGTCAAACGATCAAAGCTCAAAGCACGGTCAACACAGTTTCGTTCAGAAATTATATTAACCAACAAGCTTATATTTGCGAACATGATATTTTGCGAATATGATATTCAGCGACAGAGGTTTCAAATCCACAATCAATTATCTTTTTCATTACAAGAAAACTAATTTTTATTTTACATACACTTAGAACATCAAGATCCTCCTGAACCAATTGCACAAACAAATATAATTGACAATTTCTGTCGGTTTTATTTTGGTGAATTGACTACATATTTGAACACATATTTGAACGTGCACTTGGCGGCCAGTATGAAAATTTTACTTTCGAATAACAACAATTATTGGCCTGGTGCACTTTTGTATTCTCATTTACTGCTTTAATTTATTATGGCTTAATTAGTTATATTTGACAGTCGTAGATATTCATAACTTTTTGCATCCAGAGGGAAAAAAGAGATCTCTCTGATTTTGTCAACTATCTAACCTCGAGTTTAATGAGGTGACCTGCATGTATAAGAGCTTTTGCTTTTTGCGTTACGTTTACCTTCATAACTTTCTTTTAAGTTAGATGTAACTTAGGAAAGGATTTAAATAGTATTTAAATTTTTCGTAGCTTTTGGGTTACATACGGATAAGTTCAAAATACGAAAAAAATGTATATCTACGTGTGACAAGCGATATTAAAATAAAACAATTATAGCTGGGCCATTTATTTGAAATAGGTACATATAAGGGACAACTAGATAAAAAAATCTGTATTCAGACTATGAAAAACAATTGATATGGCAACATCATGAATATAATATTTTATGTATGAAATATCTTTACATGAGGCGTTTACAAATAGGTATATTAGATAAGTTCAAAAATGTCTAAATTATAATATTTTATTAGAATAATATTAGAAAATGTTTATGAGCTTTCTTTCTTCCATACAGTTACATAGAATTACATCTTTGTTTATACACATATATTTGTATAAGCAGGTAGTTTTTAATCAAGGGCACATGTTTATACTTTGATGCGGTGTTCACATTCAAGAAGAATTTTAGTTGAAGATGACAGAGATAGTGCATAAGCCCATGTCCAAATCTTTTATTGGTAAAATACAACAATTGTATAGTGTTTAGTAATCATTGCTGTATTAGTATCTGATTGAACATCAACAAATTCACCAAAAGGTGCCAAAAATCACGTGCAAAATGTTAGGACATAGGCTTAGCCAACTTGAATAACAGCAACGATATTTTAAAATACAGTACATTTACGGTACATATTTCAATACAGTCAGCCAAAAAACTCATTTATTCAACATTTAATTGATTGGCACCATACATTTTGTCAAGTAAACTTTATTTTGTGCCATTTTTACAGACAACCATTACGATTTGAATACACACGGAAAAATATTTTGACACTTCTGCATTATTTCTACAATAATCTCTCCAGCACAAAATGTGTTTATGTTAAATTTTGTTATGTTACTTCCGTCTATTTAAAGATAAAATATTTATGCACTAGATTTATTATGAACTTCTCATCTCACTATGCGTTTGCATGCATTTAAGCATATTTTTTTGTATACAAAAATTGTATGTTTCGAATAATGAAAGCAATAACTTTTAATGAAAATAATAAAAAAAAACTCTAAAATACCCTCTATGCCATAAAATTTTAAAATATCAAACTATTGTCATTTTGCAGAATAAAATGTTATATTTATGAGAGAAATTAACTTTATTTACTTCGCAAAATTTGTATATATTTTCTAAATAAATCTATCTAACTAAGTACACATTAGTTACAACAACAGATAAAAATAACAATCGAATAAAGCACTTAGGGAATTTATTTGTAGCGTTGTGAAAAAATAAATCTCTGCGCTTTTTTGTCTATCTTAAAATGTACTGTCTGTATTCAGATAAACAGTAAGTACATATACATTTTTATATCTTTTTCGGTTTTGATTGCGCATAAAGAGTAAATAGCACGACACACCGATCGATTGCATTAAAGAGATGTCATTACATTTTTTACATTTAAGTATATCTCTTAAAATTATTTTAAGGGCACATTTAACATTATACAGAGTGCTTATTTGGTCACAAGACACACTTTAAGAGGTGATTGTACTCATATGCAATATAAAATTAAGCGAACCTCGCGAATAACGATAAATTGTCGATTACTCCTTACAAAATGTCCGTTTCGATTGCATTGAAATGTATAAAATAGGAGATTATTCGTGATTTCAGAATGATGCCCATGGGTTGTATGTCGTCATGCTCAATCACATTTTAATTTGTGTCGTGGCCGAAAAAAGAACACCCTGTATAGTTCACACGTGAGATTCTTGGAGAGTTATAATTAATATATAATATACATAATGTATAATAAATTCTAATGTTCCTTTATAACATCAACTCGGTCGGATCGTAATATTTCACATGGGCGTAGAGAGCTGATGTCGTGATCTATCCACACCTACGTCCACCGTGGTTACTTTTCCATCTACCGGCGTACCACTATCCGCATCACTGTCCGGCATTATCACACACATAAAGGACTTTCCGCTTGTTACGTCCTTAGGATAAATTGTCATCGGGATAAACCTATCGCTAGTTCCATCTACGTATGCCGCTAGCCTCGAGTACACCTCAGGAAAATGCTTTTTTAAATTCACTCCTCGGCTTTCTAGTTCCTTCGATATGTTTTGGAAGCATATTTCTCTAAACTTGTGAGCAGTAGCCGCGTTCTTATCCCCAGCTGTGATCATCTTAGATGTTAAAACCAAAGTTTCCCTCTCCTCGGGTGTGTTTTTACTATCTTTTTTATGTCGCTTTCTGTTCTGTTCTTGTATCACGGCAGTGACAGTTTTGCTAAGGCGTAACTTGGCACATCTTGATACCATCTGCCTTTCCCATTTCACTGCACCTTTAGTTGGAACCTCGCTGATTATACAAACCGCCACGTACAGGATGACTCTCGCCTCGGGATTGTAGGCTTTGCATAGTTTAACGACTTCAGTGTACAATTCGACGCCCATCTCGTTTGGCTGGAGAGACGTCCATTTTACGTATTCGGGTTCACTTAAATATTGAAAGCCATGGTTCGCGAATTTCTCCGCAGCTTCTGGACTAGTGAAGAAGACTTTAACGACACCTCGTCCATGCGCTAGGTATCCGTTGTGAGCTATCGTGCTAATTTGATGCAACGAGTCTGCGTCTTCTTTGGCTGCTGATATTATTTGCCGGCAGAGTGCGCTGGCTCGTGAGTGCAAGCAGACTTTTCTGTGTTTCTCCCAGTGTGCTCTTCGGCACTCTTTTGAGCAGTACATTGTAGTACAATTGTGACATGTTTTGTAGTGCCTCTTGGCGTCTACCAACGAAGCGCGAGAGGTACACTTGGGGTATTTGCACTTGACGAAGGCTTCTTCGGTGCTGTTCTCAGTGTTTAGGGAGACAAGGGATGTTTTGGAGTCGTGGTGGGTCATCTGGGAGTCTGTGACGCGGGATCCTCCAGCGTCGAGGCTAGTGCGCCGATTCAGAGAGGCACTTGCTTGCGCGAAGGGCTCGCTTCTTCGGCGAGATCGATCACCCTGCGCCGAGCGAGGCCTTCGCGACTCTTGCATTGGAGCAAGATTATCAACTGTATCCGTGCCTGTAAGCGAACAACATACTTACAGCTTTACATTTCGATACCAAACAAACACATCTGCAAGCGGAAAGTTCTACACATTGAAATCTAAACATATATAATGGTACACAAAAGACTCAGAACCACTCTAAAAAAATAGACCAAGAACATATTATTTCACAACTAAGCAAAGGGACATTGACAAGTCAAAGTCGTTCATTCGGGATTAGAGGTACCTTTAAGCGTGAAAGAAATCAACTGTGATTTATATTCAAGGGTATTATAAGTAAAACCATTATATGGAGAACTCAGTGAAAGTGCGAATGGAAGAGAGCGCAGTGAGGTAGGTAGTGGTAGTAATAAAAATTGGAACGGTCCGGACTTACATATCAGTCCTACCTGGTCGGTCGTGTTCAGGACTGGGGTCGGTGAAGGAGCTGGGCCCGTCGCTGGGCGTGCCCAATAGCCGCGACGCCGGGGAGGCGCTGCTGTGCCCACTGCTGGCCAGCTGCTCGTAACGTGGGCTCTGAAGGGTTAGTGCACTATGCAGAACACTGCGCTATTTGCCATTCGAACCGGATGACTTTTGCCATAATTTTGTAAAACATGGTAAAAATATAGTACATATAAATATATATAGTCTTTTGTGACGGGGATTTTTGGAACTTTGAAATGAATTTTCAATGGTTTGAGCGGTCTGACGGAATTGCTACAAAACGTTATACCTTGCCCCCTATCAAATAGAAGGGGCTGGTGGCTTTCCTAGGGCTGGGCTGGGGTGTGGGCACCCTGGTAGGCTGCGAAGGCAGGCCCAGAAGCGAGTCCAGCACGTCCTCGAGAGTTGTGGAGCCAGGAGAAGGCAGCGTGAGGCCCAGGGCCAACGACCGTTGGGACTCTTGCCAGTCTGCAAGCGACCGCGATGTCATGATACTTTTAACGTGATTCACTGTTTGTGTTTTGCGTTTGCAGTTCGAATGAGTTCTTTGACTCGATTTTCTTTTGGACTTCAAAGTATTTGATCATATTGTGAGTTGTTGTATTTTTTTTTGTATTCTGCATTCTGGTGTCATCTACTAAATCAAGCGTCCTTTATATTCAGTGTAGAAATTTTAGTTTTAATTTTTGCTTTGAAATAATTTATAATTAGTATTATGTTTGTGTAAATTAGGATACAGTGTGAAAAAAAGGGGAAGGGGTGCAAAATGGTGCTTTAAAACAATAACATGTACATTACTTACTTTGATGTTATTAGATAAAGTGCGTTGGCAGACCCTTAGCAAAATTGCTTCACACAAACTGTACGTTAAAACACCAGTGTACCTTAAAAACAAAAACCAAAAAAACGCCACAAAAATAAAAAATAAAACAAAATATATAAAATAAAACTGAATATATTCAATACAATCGTTACGACTAAAATACAGTGATTGAAACGAATATAAAAGTGAAGAAAGATGTCGACAGTTTAAACAAGTTTCTTTGACCTTTGATACTAATTACATAAAGATACCGAGATTCTCTAATATATGAATAGCTATATCTAAAAATTACATTTTGTTTTAGGTACTATTTGTTTAATGAATATATAATATATATTTAGATATACAACAATGTAGAGAGCAACTACAGAATATTAACTGTAACAATTTTCTTTAGTTTACAACATTTAATAGACGGATAAGTGCTTTTATTGCACAACGGGAAGTAATTTGGTTTCTTGTGTGAACTTTTGACTATTTCAAAACTGTTTTCTACGAGTCGTTTAGTCACGGACTAAACGAATTCGTGGCGCAACTTTCGGAATTTCGGCGGTGCGGTTTCTGAACGCAGAACGACAATTTTCTAACCTAATCAGAACCTGTATAATTTACTTAGGACCCAATAAAAGGTCCAACATAAATTACGAGGTGATTTAAGTAGAAGGAACTTGAATATTTTGAGACATCAGTCTTTACGTCACTTCTGACCACCACTTTGTTTATGGTTCTGATAACTGTTGCCCTAAACGTGACTGCAAGTGTACACTTGCGGTAGCATTACTGGCTCCTAATTTGTGACCTCTATTAAAGCCTGACAGTGGATACTTGAAAACTTAATACAGAAAATTAGCACCTAAAATAAAATATAGCAACATATTTACAAAAACCTATATAGGTAAGTATGTATTTACTAGCAGTAAATTAAAAACTAAGGCTTTGCATTAAAAAGTAAACACACAAAACAAAAATAATTTACTCTGTACATAGCTCATTGTAAAATTACTATAATACGAAATAACTGGTTCGCGTGGCAGGTAAAACAGTAATATTGAAGAATTATTATGGCAATATCTTTACAACATAATTACATCTTAACTATTGACTATTTCATTTAGTACGATTTTGGGACCTAATTCGTTATTAAGTAGGTACCTTTTGATATGTCAATATTTTTTTTAATAATGTAACATTTATTTAAAGTTCATCAATCAATTCCAATAACAATAAAAATAAGTTTAAGCAAAATGCACCAACATTGTTAATCTAAAATAATGTATGTACATAATTTTGGCGGTGTGTTGTAAAAGTTACCAACATTATTATTTTTTTGTACTGGCAACATTAACATTCAATACAAAGGGTACCGCCAAGATGAAATGTGTCAAAAACTAAAAATAAGCCGCTACAAGCTAGTGCTTTCGATCTCACGACGCAAAATAACAATACTTGTACGTACAAAACAAATTGCAGTAAAATAGTGCAAAACTGTCACAAAAATAAGAACATAATACATAATAATAATGGTCCTGAGTCTTAAACACAGTCTATAAAGCTCTATTACACGTTCCACAAAATAAAATCTCATAGTTCTCAAACCATAAGAGTTTATTTTACAAACTAAATACACAGAACAGCACATAAACGCACGGAGTATTAACATAATATGGGTTAACAATTCACTGCAGGTTCAGATTTGGTACTAAATGCATTTTTTAGCTTGTAACTTTTTCTAAAATTTCGCAATAAAAATCACGCACAGCGCTCGTCAAGTTGGTCGATATAGATTTTTTTTGTACATTGACGCCTGTGGTAAAGGAATGTGTTTTTATGGATTGCATCTAAGCCTGCAGTGTATAAGTGACGTGGTCACGCTCTCTCACCAGGAGCGGCACGGTGGTCGAGCCGCAGCGACGATGGCGGCCGAGGGTGCGGCGGAGGTAAGGCCTCCGATACCACTAGAGGTGTCTGGGGCGATTCTAGCGGTTTTGTACCTGGAAATATTGATTTGTGTATTAACTTTTACGTAGCTGATTTTTTAAATTTTTGCACACAGGTATCATATAAACGCAAGAATCCTAACGACCTATTAATACTGAATTAGTGTAAACTGTTTGGAAATCTGAATAGCGACTGACCGACAAAAGAACTCTCAAGCCAATAGAGCTTCTGGCTGGAGCGCGGCGAGGGCTGGCGATCGACGTCGCCGTTGGCTGGTTCTAACGCCGAGACGTAGTGCACTATCGCTGACGTCACTTCTTTTATCGACGATTGAATTTCCTCCGATGCCTTTGTTGATTGTTGTTGCTGGAGCAGAGATGACGCTAGCCTGAAAAAGACAATTGTACTTCAGCCACATACCAAAACTGCAATCAATTCATCGTTGCCCGAGAACTTCACTTCAACTGGCACAAACTAACAACATTTGTTTGTCGAGATATACCTCTCATGTGGCGTTCTAGGCACGTTGTTCAGGCGCTCCTGACTCCTCCATCCGAGGTATGGTTGACGAGCGCTAAACGAAGATCTCGTCGATGGCGAGCACAGCGGACTGGTGCCGCGAATGCTGCTGCGCGTTGAAGAACACGGGGAGGTCTGGAAACAATAGAACATTCTCGAAAATACTTCTCGAAATTGGAAGTCCCTTAAAACTAGTGTACAACATAAAGGTATTTTTAATACGAAACGAAAGTGATTCTTTCGATAACTTGGGTAAGTCCTATTATGACTTAGAGTCACTTGGAGAAAGGTTCGATTTCACAGCTTATGGAAACGGACTAAGCTTCAATAAGATAAGTGACTCTCCCAGCTCCAAATAAGATAAAAAAGACCATCCTCAAAGATTAATAGAGGCAAGGTTAAGCTATCTCGAGAGCTTAACGGCCATAACACGATAAGTGGTGTCGATTCCCTGGAGCGCAATAAAAGTTGATTCATCTCTCTGGTCAACCGATGGCAGTTTTAGCTAGCTGTCAGACTACCAGATTGATAAACGATGTCTTTAATGGTGAGAGGCAAGCAAGAAATTGTTGATTTAGGTCACAGACCAGAGTCCGTGGTTTAGGTGCAGCTTTAGGAAATAATGAGTAATTAAAGGAAGTAGACACGAATAGGATAAAAGAGTTTACAACTTTCTAAGAAAAATTGTGTATAATGCGATGTGACCTTGGACAATGGCAATGGCGCACCTTACGTGATGAAGTGATCACAACACTTACTTGATTCGAGTTAAGCCGGCTAGTGGACCAACGTCCGAAGCTGGTGGTGTGGGGCGACAGCTGTGGAGGTGGTGGTTGCGCATTGGCGCCGCCGAGGCTGCCCAGAGAGGTGGTCTTCGAATTAAGCCCGCTCCACCGCGTGGCCGACGCGGCCGCGTCTGATAGTCGCTTACGCAGCAGGAAGCCCTCGCGGGGAGCTGGGGCGTTTTTGTACCTGTGAGCAAAATGATAATTTGTACATTTCATTCATTATTATTCTATTGGATAAGGCAAAAGATAACGAGAGTTTGTATAATGGTAAAATCTCTTAAAGTGTGCTCTTAAAGGTGATTATTCCATAAATATAAGAGATACCAAAAAGCTTTAAAGCGATAATGAAAGCACGTAAGGATCATTTCATTGCATGAGACGAATAAAATGGGAACAGCAGAAGTTGGTCAAATTTAATAAAATGTTATTTATTTTGTATGAAAAAAAAATTATTACATTTGCTGTCCCGATTTTTTTCATCCCATACAATGAAATGATCCTTACATGAAACTGAGTCGATCAGCACTAAAAGAAAAATTTAATAAATTTTATTCATTATTATGGGCAACTCACACTTGACTAAATAATTGACTATGCCATTATATTTTTATTCAAATAAAATATATTTTGATTACTTTATTTATAGCAGTTTTATTATCTGTTAACTTATTGTTGCCTCTTACAGTAGTAAAACTGAAGCCTCTACAAATGTCATATTAAATGTATGGAATCGTTTAATGTTAAAACTGGAAATGTCTAGTCTTATTTTTAAAAAGTTATTGATGTCGATTTACTCATTAGGTAACGTACTTTCGATATCAGTTTAAAGGTTTTTGATATCCGTTATATTTATGGAATATTCGCATGACCACACTTAACGATTACACTCTGTATATACGACATACTCTCCAGTCCCAGCAGTGTATATGCCTATACAACACAAGAATGTGACAAAGCCAGGTCACATAGCGGAGCGTAATACAATTAGGACGTTAATCGACAAAGAGGCTCTTTACCGCTGCCGCCCGTCTCCGAGTTCTGTCGGTCCGCTGCGGCCGTGAGAAATGGGCAATTGGGGATTGAATCACACGTACAATAAAATTGAACACGTCGTGGATGTGGTGAAAGTGACTTGGAATATTCCAGTTCATTAATTATGAATTAATTACCAAATAGTATTTTGACTTAAAAAAAAAATTTGTATAGTCAGCAACATAAGTTAAAAAGTTTTGTTGCAGACTTATATTTACTTTAATTATGATTTAGATTTAGCGACACTTAGGTACTTAAGAAATTAGTGAAATAACAAAAATTTGAAACTACTATTTGATCATTATTTGATTTTTAGTTCGGGTCTTAATCATGTATAAAACGTATTTTAATCACCTCGACGTTTCGGACGTATTGTATCGTCCATGGTCTTGAAGGGACTGAAGAGGCGGGTGTTACTAGACCGACACATCAAGTATCGCCCGACAAGTTGCTGGATGTCATGAGTGTTGTGTCGTTTGGTCTAGTGACAACCATAGCGCACAAATAAATAATTAACACCAAGTGCGGGTAGTTAGAAAAACTCGTACGGCTAGAAAATGTTGACACCAGCCTCTTCACTTCCTTCGAGACCATGGATGTTGCAATACGACCGAAACGTCGTGGTATTTAAAGAAATATATGTATTATACATGATTAAGTCCCGAACTAAAATAAAAATAATGATCAAATAGTAGTTTCAAATTTTTGTTATTTCACTAATTTCTTAAGTACCTAAGTGTCGCTAGCCAGAGTCCACTAAATCTAAATCATAAATATAAGTCTGCAACAAAACTTTTTAACTTACCGACAAACTAACAAAGACATAGTTACCAAAGTTCGCGAGTATTTATAAATGCCTTGTTCAACATAAGTTTACGTTGGCAAGTAACACATGTACGGTTGTTTTTTTTTTGTACAATTATATAATAGGTTCACGTGTTCCCTAATACCGTCTGCCTATTAAATACCTATTACAGGTTGTATGATCAGCTGACTCAAGTGGGTATGTTCGCAGCCGAGCACTTAAGGGTGCTATTTTGTTTTCCATTTCTCAATACTTCCGAGTTTTGAATAGTACTCGAACCTTCGTTCATTGAAGTTAAAATGCCTCTTCATATAGCAGTGTACATTGTAATTAATGGAGTTAAAAATGATAAATGTAAATGTACACCTTCGGCTGAATTCGTAAACCTTGTAACCTCAATTAATGTGAACTTTTGTGTAACTAGGCTCATAAAGAATTACTAGAAATAATTATATGACAAGTTATGAATATACCTTTATACCTAAAAGAGGGTCTATAAATTATATTTTAAGCTTTACTTGTTCGGTATTGAGTAAAAAAGGGACTTCGTCCAAAAACGAAGTTAAGAAGTTTTCAAATGTAGCCGACGACATGCGAAAATGTAAAAATTTATACTATTGGTTCAAAATAAAGCCAAATTCTTAAAATTACTTAAATGAACGCCGACAAAAATAGATATAAATAAAAACTCACCATTCGGGCACATTGAGCTTCTGCAACGATCGCTGGACACGCAACTCGTGCTCGGAAAGCACGCGGTCCGAATTCTTCTGCAACTCGTTTTCTGGGGGCTACAACAAAGAAACAATACCTTAACCCAAAGACAATCACTTCGTTGACAAATAGGTGTGATAAACAGAAAGCAAACAACGCTACCTACCTACAAGTATTTGGAAGCCACAAGATCGGGGTGATATAGGTATAAAATCTCTTTACGAAAGCAGAAGTAAGAAATAATACTTTTTTTTAAATAATAAATTTATTACAAAATTTACTTTAAATATAATACACAGTACGAGTGAATTTATATCCAAGATGAATTTACCGAATCTTCGACGTCATCTACAGGAGCTAAACGGTACATTGACCCAAAGAACGTATTTGTCTCAGAAGTGTTGCCACATGTATGCTTTTGTACATTTTCCACATTAAAGTCTTTTAATGGCGACGAATCTATCATTCTCCCTTCAAGTTTCAAGGTTTGGTAAATTTTGTAAATAGCAAACTTCGCATATTCCGTTTCCTCGTCATCTTCCGTGACATCAGGGAAGATTACGTCCCGGCATTGCGATTGGCTTACAATTTCCTCACATGCTAATGAGTCTCTGCTCAAGAAATTGTCGTTTAAACTAAATATATCCATAATTTCAGACCAAGATGTACAAACAGTTAGAGAACTATTTGTCTCTTCATATTCTAATTTTTCTGCGTTGTCCCAATTTTTACTAGCATTACTTCTCGTCTCATGATGTACTAATTCTGCAATACCATATATACTTTCGTTCCAAGAGGCTGAATCGTTATGTACCGAACTGAGACTAAAATTGACTTTCTTCTTCTTTTTCAAAGTCGACGTTCCAAACATGATCTTGTTTTCAATTGGTTGAAGCATTTTATTTTCAAAATCGTTATAGTCTGGTATCTCGTTATTGTCAAATTCCTTTTCCCGTTCTGATGATACAATTATTGATTGATTGTTATCGATTTCTATATTTTGTAGATCTGAGATTGGTGGTGGCGGTACATTTTGCAATAACCTGGTGAAGAAAGCACGAACTCTTTCATCATTTTCATTATATTGTTTTTCTTTCGAATCATGCGGCTGTTTTGACTCCTCAACAAGTGATGTAACTCTTCTCGACACGTTATTGATCGAAAGATCGCTGTTCGCACGTGATTTGGTTGAATTTTTTCGTTTTGCATCGAATCTTCTAATACAAATTTTGGAAGTCCATTGAACGTGTTTGCATCTGAATCCGTTCACGGTTATAGAGTTTTCTTCTTCGGATTCACTTCTTGGAATATCAGGATATTTAGTGTAGTAGAGATCCCTTGACAATGGCTTCGCAAATACATGTTCAGGTAGCACTTCATCGAATGGTTCCAACTCCACGGTATCCCACACAGAGTCTAAACAATACCAAAATCCATTCTTTTCAAGCACTTCCTCCGTCGTAAGTAGCACTACAGACACCATTTCCAGTTAAACGTTTTTCGTGCTACATGCAAAGGGATACTGTCACGATATGCGAAATATGTTTGTTGAGTTAAGTAAATATTTACCAAAGGATTACAGAAGAATTCTTTGTTAGTTAGTTAACGATCATTAAAAAGTAATTTTTGTACAGCGTTATTGTTGTTCTAAGTAATTTGGCAAATCCTATGTCTTATTTATGTTTATTTTCTAATGAAGTTTACAGTCGTTATTTTGTTTTGAAAACGGTTAATTGACGCAGATTATTACTTGAGGATCATTTTAAGTGTTAATAGCGCTTGTGATCTGAAAAGTTTTTCACATGAGGCACATGTTTCTGATCTTTCAATGTGGCACTATGGATATTACCTGAAAGGAGATTGGGTTGGGACTCACCCGCACGTCAGATGAAGCAAGAAGTGCGCAAGGGCCCAGGAGTCCTACACTTTCCCAGCAAGTCATGACCACAAGGAACGTGTGGCGTACACGCGCCAATGTCCGTTGCCCCCTACACTTGCATACTGGCTGTATTATCGCACTGTGATGCACTAGTGAGTTTGCAATACTACGTTACGTAAGTTCTCATATCGCACTTGATAACCAACTCTTTTAATTAAAACAGGTATACTTAAAGCATCTACACACAAAGCTACGAGAGTCGTTGAGAGGAAGTGAAAGAAGCAAGCTGCAATATCGAAGCGGAAAGCGTTTGCCAATCAAATGAGAATAACGTTGCCTATTGAACGTCAAAATCTAATTACAAGACTGAACCGGAGCGACCGCGGGGCTTCAGAGCTTAAGGTCGCTCTTCGGGCTGGGGCCTGAGCTGGGGCTGGGTCTGGCATGCGTCGGGTCGGACTTACGCGTCGGCCACTGCGGTAGTCCGCATCGTGCCTCATGGACTCGGGCCGCGGGGACAGGCGGCGGTGCCACTGCCTCCCGCCAGACTGAGGCGCGGCGCGTGTCCTTGGACATGGCGCATGCGTCAATTTGCCACCCTTACTACTGGTTCCACTTCTAGTTCCTTTATCTTATGACTATTGTGACGGTACATTCTGCTTTAGACTCCTTGTTGCTTCAAATTGACACATTTTGGTCCAAAGCTCACATTGGAATATTTGGTAATGTTTTGGTGGTGTAATCCATTATTTTCACGCGTAACAAATATAGAGAAGCTATGTTCTTACGTGTTAAAACTTTACAATGATCGTGTCAGGTAAACGGAAGCTACCCGTATTTCAATTATTTAAGAAACTGTTTCAGATCGCGCTATTATATAGGTTTCGTGAATACTTCTTGTTGTGTAGGTGTGTGATTGGTCGACACGACACAGAAGTACTTACCTCTATGATTTAATTATTCAAGATCAAAATTAATATTTATGGTTCACTATGGTTCCAGCAACGGGTTATTATAATCAATTTATTAAACTAAATACTTAAAAGGGTAAATTAAGTTATGTAATTGTTGTTCGCTACATTGCGTGCATATTTCTGACAATATCAACAAGTACTTTGACTTTGTCAACACATGTAACGTGTGACGTGACACTGAAATATTCACATATTTGTAACATGCGACCTTTTCTGCATGACTTTTGAAGAACTTTCAATGAGTTTATAGGTATGGAGCATACTCCACTCACTCTCGTCATACATAATGACGAGACAGTGGCAGGGGTAAAAGGTCTCCTGAGTGGCTCATGATGACAGGGTATTGCTCCTGTGGGCGTTTTAATATACGTATTCCATTAAACAAGGGAAGACGTGATGCTGAGGGACGCATGGAATGTGGACCGTGACCTATATAACAACACAATAAGTACTTCAGTGGATATAAGCATGCCTATACGTGGGGCACACTATAAGTTTCCGGAATGAATAAGAAAAAAATACTATAAATGGTCAGAAATGAATTTATTGTTTCTCAAAATATTCTCCGTTAGCGTTAATGCACTTTTTCATACGAATGAACCAATTTTGAAAGCATTTATACCATCCCTCCGTGAAACATATTTTTCATACTCTTCGATCGTGGTGCAAGATGATACGGCGTTTACGGTTATTTTTACTTTTAGAGTTTGTCAATAACTTCCGGCAAACAAATGGTCGTGTACCAATCACTATTCATGGTACAACGATTTTCCAAAGCAACAGTAGCCACGTGTCCAGTTTTATTAAAAAAAGAAGCAATCATCCGCTTAGAGGTACTTTCCACGCGCGCCACTTTGGTTGGTTTCGGCTCATCCGAAACACCCATACGCTCGATTACTGCTTTGTTTTGGGATCGTAACTATAAATCCATGTTTTGTCACTCCTTACTATGTCTCTTACCAAATTTGACGCCCCTTCGTTGAATCTGGTAAGCATGGCATTGCACCAAGTGACGCGATCCATTTTTTAAGCCTCAGACAAATTGTGTGGGATCCACCGAGAGCACAGCTTTTTCACACCCAAATGTTTGTGTAGTATTGATTGTATTTGACTCATGCCTGTGCCTAAACATGCACGCATCTCATGGTATGTCACATGCCTATCTGTTTTGATCATACGGCAAAGCATCGATGTTTTTGTTGTTCACAGCAGTGGACGGGCGACTATCATGAAACTCGTCACTGAGATTCACACGATCGCGTTTGAATTCTGCAAACCAGCTATAAATAGTCGTCTTGCATGGTGCTTCATCGCCAAAAGCAGTTTGAAGCCGAGCGAAGTTCCGCTGAGCTGTTAAATTACACTTAAAGTCGTAGAAAATCATACTACGAAAATTTTCACGAGTTAAATCCATGGTGATGTAGACAACCAATTTCTAAAATGACGCCACAATGTAAAAACAAGTGACAGTCAGATGAAACAATCTGTATTTTACAGCCAAAGAGTTGCATTTTCAAATGTAGTAATTACTTTTTAAATATTATTTATGTAAGTGGCCTGTTCCGGAAACTTATTATTTATTATTAAACTTACTTAATTAAACACTAGCGATCAAAGCGTACTAGACGGAAACTATTGTATCAAAGGTAATAAAGGCAGAAAATTTGATGTTTTATTCAAAGATTAAACTAAGAACGTAGAGAGGTCGAACGTAGGTCATGCTTCAACCACATTAAGGACGGCCTTGAAAAAGGTTAAGTGAAAAGCACTGGCAATGGATGAGATAGGATTAATGTTAATGGAGGAAGTAAAAGAAATATTGCCAGGATCTAGCAAGGTCTGTTTACTGCGATGGAAAATAAAATCTGAATATGTGTACCTGTAAGTGTGGGCAAATCAAAAGGCAAAAGAATAAGAAATAGTCGACCGACAGTTTTTTATCTGGCCTTAAATTATTACTGTAAATATAAATAAAATTAGCTCATAACCTGAAAAATATAAAATAAGGTGAGGTTTTAAGACGTCCATAAATAAGATGCTAGATTACAGAAAAATATATACCATCTCCGAAAACCTGGTTTTCTAGCCATTTACATAACCTAAATTGACATATCACGCGACCACTTTACACCCCATAAGCCACTTTTGACGATTACGTGGTATATTACGAATGGTTTTATTGTTTATTTTAGGTTATGTGAGGTTTATTCATTCATCATTAAAC